TAGTGTCCTTATAAGAAGAAACAGAGGAGAGCTTGCTTCCTCTCTCTCTCAGCCATGTGAGGATACAGCGAGAAGGCTGCTGTCTACAAGCCAGAAAATGAACCTTCACCAGACACCAGCTCTATAGGCACCTTGATCTTGGACTATGAGAAATCAGTGTTTGTTGTTTAAGACACACAGTCTATGGTATTTTTGTTATAGCAGCCTGAACTGAGACAGACACTGTATGGAAAGCTCTCAGCATGGTGCTTGCAGATACTTGAGTTGCTCAATAAATAATAGCGATTGGTATTGATCATTCTAAACCCATGTCCTTTTAGGTAACCAATTTCAATGAGAAAGAACACAAGAGCTTAGTAAAAAGGTAGCATCCTCCATGGACTGAGGGGTCATTCAAGGAGGGTCTTCTGTATGATGAAGAAACAGAAAAGGATTTTTAAACATTTTGAATTTGTGGTAGATTTGACAGATTTCGAGTTACTGTGACCAACTATCCTAGTCTGTCTAGGACTGAGGGGATTCCTGGGACATTAAAACTGGGACAATTTGTTCCTTCAGTTTCCAGTGGGGAGGAGATACTTATTCCCGGGAGTGGGCAGTACTAGAAGCAAGAGAGGTCATCTCCCCTTCCTCTTTTTATCTCCTAATAGGAGTGACTTATCTGACTGGTGATGCTGGAAAATGGTTTGAGCTTGCATAGTGCTGGTACTTGGAAGGGGCCAGCCTGCCGATCCTCCACCCAAGCATGTGCTCTTGAGTCCCCCAGGTGGAAGCTTGCTGGGCAGGCTGTGGACTTGTCTGGGTAGACCACATGTTCAGCATACCAGTGAGAGGAAAAGTTCAGTTTGAGGGGGAAAAAAGGGGTAGGAAGCCTTATGTGGATACAGGCTCAAGCCCCATTCTGCAAATAGCATTACCAAAAATAAAGCTGATATTATGATTTCTACCTGACATCTGTGTCTATTTCTAAACTGGTTCAGAACTCAGAGGGGGAAAGGGATATAATTAATTATCAGTCATGTGATTAATTATCACCTTCATAAACCCCAACAGATGGATGCCTATTTTATTTCATTGGCAGAAAAACCCATTTCAGGCTGGCAGAAAAAAGGTATTTTGTAGAATCAAATGAGTTTAGAGGTGGGATTGACCTTAGAGATGATCTGGTCCAATATCTTTGTTTTTACAGATGAATGACAAGATCTATATGAAACTCTGAAAAACTCATCAAATGCAAGTAATTTGGGGGAGTGGTCTTTAGAAGCTATAACCAGAATTAAAAACAGATTATAGATAATATAGAAAATAGGTTATAGATTAAAACTAAGCAATTTCAGGACTTCCTTGGCGGCCCAGTTGTTGAGACTTGGCCTTCTAATGTAGGGGGTGTGGGTTCGATCCTTCGGGGAGCTAAGATCCCACATGCCTTGTGGCCAAAACACCAAAACATTAAAAAAAAAAAAAAAGACACAATATTGTAACAAATTCAAAAAAGACTTTAAAAAATTGATCCACATCACACACAAAAAATCTTAAAAAAATAAAGTTAAGCAATTTCAGAAGGAGAGAAGTTTCCCCAGATAAAAGTATTACAATCAACAGCTGAGAGTTGAATTATTTTAATTGATGAGAAACCTGTAAGACTTAGGTCAGTAAGACTGCTTATCCACAGCCTTGAACACCAGGTAAGGTGTCAAAAGAAACAAGCTTTTCCCCTCCATCCTCACCTTGCCTACCTACCATAACCTGGTCTTCCTCATTAGGAATGCTTATTACTTCCTCACTGTTCACCAGGAATGCCCCACTGGCAAAGCAAGGGTCCTGGTACCTCAAGACACATGAGACCCTTTGGTCAAGCATGGCCATTTCTGGTCTTATCTTTTTCTCTTACCAACACACTCATCCACCAGAGTACCTACATTTGACTTTTTGAAAATGTCCAGTTTTGCATAAGCAGGAGAAAGCCCACTTTACCCTGACTCTCCCACTGAATACAGCTCTAAAACCTGGACGGAATGCAGGGAGCAGCTATTTGAAGCCTCTGAAAAGTCAATGGTAGCAGGGAGACTGGGAAAGAGGATCAGAACTTGAAATACTACTGATCCATACCCCCTTACCCTCACCCGTGGCCTGAACTCAACACACCAGAAATGGACACCAGGGTGCGGGCAAGAGAGCTGCGGGAGGTGTCCTCTGTTCCGGCTCCAGCTGAGAGAAGGGGAACTCCGAATGCTCAAAGAGAGTGTGGAAATTGTTCCTCCCTTGCTCTTCTTTTTTCTTTTCCTCTCCCCTCCCCTCTCCTCCTCTTCCTTGCCCCCCCCCTTCCTTTTCCGTCCCTTTCCTCCCTTCTTCTATGCTCCAGCCCCCAGGGACCTTGTGGGGGTCGTAGCATCACATCAGCCCAAACTATGAGACAGGGGAAACTCCCTCTGCCTTCAATGGTGCCATAGTTTCCAAAAACTGGGGCCAAGCCCCACTGCTTTTTTCCCCTCTCTTTGTCCTCTCTCTGCTTGGCGATACCTAGGCGAGGTCACAGACGGGCACAGCAGAGTGAGCTTTTTGTCCAGAGACTCAAAAGGGGTCCCAGGGAACCAGAAAGTATCAGGGAGATCAGGGAGTGGAAGGAACTGGGCAAAGAAACCCCATAAAGTATTTTTTAAAATAAATTCCTGTACTCATCCCTCAAACTATACATGCATGGACCTGATCATTAGCACATCAAAACTCTGAGAACTCTGCCTAGGTGCCGGACTGACCATCCAGCGACATGCACATGGAACAGAGCCCAGCTGCACTGCTAAGGCTCTGAAAAGTGAAATGACATGGGAACCAGAGCCCTTGGAAAATCAACTAGTGGCATGGAACACGCAGTCCGAACCTAACCAGGTTGAATGCATCCTAAATCAGACATATTAACTCTCTCCATAGGCTTTAAACAAGACCCAGAGTCTCATAATATTCAAAATGTATGGAAAACAATCTAAAATTCCTTGGCATAGGAAGACTCAGGAAAATATCAATTCCCTGGGAATAGATAATCAACTGAAGCAAACACAGCAGTGACACAGATGTTACAATTATCTGGCAAAAACCTTCAAGTAGCTATTATAATAACGCTCCGAGCAACAATCATGAGCACTACTGAAATCAAGGGAAAAGTAAATAGTCTCAGTCAAGAAATGCATGACATAAAGAAGAGCCAAATGGAGATTCTGGGACTGAAAAAATATACCCGACATTAAGAATTCTCTGACGGCTCTACAGCAGAATGGACAGGACAGCAGAAAGCAACCCATGAGCAAACCAACTTCTAGCTGGGGGCCTATTTATCACTATTTTTTCGTGTGTCTTCTCTCTACTTTAATTAACTATTTCAGCATCATAAACCACAACACAATTTAGTGGCTTGAACGCAAACCCATGTATTATTTCTCCCAGCTCCGTGGGAGGGCTGGGCAGTTTCTCGGTTGGTCTTGCCTAGACTCATTCATGTTCCTGCCTTCAGCTGGAGGGCTGGTTGGACAGGAAGGTCCAGGCTGGCCTCAGTGATTGGCCTGGCAGTTGGTGTTGGCTATTGACTGGACTGCCTCACTCCTCCAAGTGACCTCCCAACCCCCAGCAGGCTAGACAGGGCTTCTTCACAGTATGGTGGTCTCAGGGTTCCACCAGGGTGAGCCCAGAAGCCACAAGGCTCATGAAGGCCTAGGCTCTGAAACTCACACAACGTCACCTCTATCATATTCTGTTGATCAAAGTACATCCCAAGGATTGCACAGAGATAAGGGATAAAAAACTAAACTATCTCTTCATGAAAGGAGCAGCTGTACGACTTTGCAAATGGGTGTGGATGCAGGGATTGGGATCCTTATTTCAATGTTCTACCACATTCCTCCTGGGGAATTCATGCTGCAAATCTCAAAGGCCACGGGTCTACAATTACTATGGCAGTAGAAGAGACTGTGAGGCCCAGAGAAATCTAGCGTTTGCCTAAGACCACAGAGCTACTTAAATGGGAAAATATGAAACTAGACCCCATGACTGCTGATTCACTGACCAGTGATCCTGTTTCTGAGATGAGCTGTATAGTATCTTGAACACCTTGGCTGTTTAACAGGTAGGAAAATAAGGGACAACTTGCACAGAGTGTTAGCAATCATTCACCATTCAGATCCATTTTGTGAAGGAAATAAATGCAGGCACTTGTGGAGTCCATGAAAAAAAAAAAACTGAAGTAAAGTGACACAATAAGGGCTATTCATTATGTAGCAATACAGCTCCTAACCTGTCCTGTGCACCAAAACATAGTGCATTTAGTCCCTTGAGTTCCTGGCTCTCAAAACTTAATTTCTTTACTGAGGTAAAATTCACATAACATAAAATTAACCATCAACCATTTTAAAGGGTACAATGCAGCGGGTTTTGGTACATTTACTATGCTATGCAACTATTACCTCTGTCGAGACATTTTCATCACCCAAAAGGCAAGCCTGTACCCACTAAACAGCCACTCCCCAAGTCCCCCTCCCCCAGCCCCTGGGAACCACTAATCTGCCTTCTCGCTATGGATTTCTATTCTAGATGTTTCCTATAAATGGAATCATATGTGCTTTTGTAGCTGCTCCTTTCACTGCACATGTGTTCATGGTTCATCCACACTGCAGCGTGCAACAGCATTGCATTCTTTATATGAATAATATCAATATAAACAATATTCATAATATTCCATCGAATGGATATACCACATTTTGTTTATCTCTTTGTCAGTTGATGGGCGTGTGGAAAGCTCCCACGTGTTGGCTACTGTGAATAGTGCTGTCACGAACATTCACGTACAAATAGTCACCTCGATACCTGCTTTTAATTCTTTCAGTTAGTTAGTATACAGTCAGAAGTGGAATTTCTGGGTCGTGTGGTAATTCTATCAAAGCTGAATGCTCAGCCTAGTTTCTGACAAGGCTTCTTCAAATGGTTTGAGATTAATAACCTGCTGCCACCATTACCTTATCTCTAAAGTCAGTGTGGTTCTGGAGGATGGCTCTGTGGTAAGTGGCTGTCCTCACAAAATCTTGCATCATGTTCTGCTGCTGGGAAAGGCAGCCATAAAACTGTAAGGGAGAGAGAAGGACAGGGAGGGTAAACACGCCATGAGGCAGGACCTTCACGGGTACTTGGCTCTTACAGGCACCTGGGTCAAGGCGGGCTTGGTCCAACACAGCGGGGGGGCCGAGGCTCTGAGACACCCGGGACCTGTCCACACTGGCCCCATGTGTAAGGCCCACAACTCTAAGGAGACCTCAGAACTTTGATCCATACAGCGGATTCAGACCTAGATCTTGACCAGATTGGTGCCCAGGGTCCCCCCTCCCAAAGCAGAGGCTGAGAGAGCACAGATCAAGAATAACAGAGGTAAGTGAGAGAGAAAGGGGCCAGGGCCAAAAGGGACGGCCCTGATGAGTCCCATCAGCCTAGAGAGAAAGATGGGCCTTGGATAGAAATCCCAGGAGAGGGTGGGGTGGGGTAGAAGGCAGTGACGGTGGTGATCCTGAGGCAAGCCGGTTGGGTGAGGTGGTACGTATAAATCCATGAGCATTGACAGTGAGTAATAAATATCATCATTGTAATGGCTACCATTTGGTAGAGTTTTCTATGTGCCAGGCACCATGCTAAGTGTTTCACATACATCCTCTAGTCAAATTAAATCACAACAATCAAATGAAGTATGTTCCTCAGCTAAGGAAACTGAGCCTCAGGAAGATACAGCAACTTGCCCACGTCCTGACAACTCGCTAAGTGACAGAGACAAGATCCCAATCCAGGTGATGCTGTTGCTGTTGGTCAGAGGACCACACATTGAACACCGCCGCACTCTCGGGACTACCCTGGCGGTCCAGTGGTTAAGACTCCCCGCTTGCAAGGCAGGGAGCATGCGTTTGGATCCCTGGTCGGGGAACTAAGATCCCACATGCCGCACAGCACGGCAGAAGAGAAAGAAAACACCGCGGCACTCTCTTCTCCACCCACCGCCTCGCCCAGGTATATTCACAGGTGTGTGTCACTCTGAAACGACTCAGCTCCACCTGGGACCGCTCCCCTGACCTGGAAGTACTGTACGGCAGACGCCTCTTCTGTCCGCTGGCTGAACACTGAGTATTCCTTTTCCTCACGCCGGCATCTTTTCAAGGTATTTGAAAATGCGCTGAATTCTGCAAGGAGAAGAAAGCAGATCCATTTCTACAGCTTGGAAACCACAGCACTCGCCACTGCACCCTTCACAAAATTCCACCTGAGAAGCTACTAGAAGATGAAAACGGGGAAACCACAGCACTCGCCACTGCACTCTTCACAAAATTCCACCTGAGAAGCTACTAGAAGATGGAAACGGCGTGCTCACCTCTGGACACACGCATGATAAGGAACGGCAAGGTGGGAATGGGGACTGCTCTGAGGTGTGACACCCTTATTTACACTTGTCAGACATATTTGCATTCAGAAATGTCAAGTTTGAGACCATAATGGAACACAGGCAGAGCCTGGGCTCACTGAATTCTCCTGGTACGGTGCTAACAAAGTTCACAGGCTTATTCTCAGTATGTGCTCTGAGGAAGGTGATGGTTGATGATAAGAAAAATAAAATATATGTGAACACAAAATATATATGTATATAAGTGAGTATATATATAAAATCTCATTCTATCATTATAGTGACAAGTTTTCTTTGTTTTCCTATTTAGTATTCCCTAAGTGTATAGAGAAAAGGTAAACGAACCGGGGATATGTGTATACAAGGGAATGCTTTCTACTGTGTGAGGAACAGAATACAGAAGTGAAGGCTCAAAGAATTCCAGAAGTGATATTACTAATAGATAGCATGCACAGTGGTCAAATTCTGTGACTTCCACCTTAGAAATGTCTCTCAAAGTCCTGCCCAGTGGTCGTCGCTGCCTGGGGTCTCTCCTCTCCACTGCTGGTGCTGTGACCGGGTCTCTCTCCTACAGCCCACGTGGGATCCCTAACGCCCACCCAGTCTGGATTCACCATGAGCTCCAGTCCCTCACGTCTGTCCGCCCCTGGGTGCGCGCCCTCCTCGCCCCCATTTCCTGCACACATAAGACCTGCACTATACCCTTACGCGCCCACCGTGCTGCTGAAGCGCTTACACATTCCCAGGTCAACGTGGGCCTGGCCTGGCTTCTTGACTTTGAAACCCTTGTCCGTCTCTTCTGTTTGGATTACCTTCTGACATGAAACTCCTATTCATTCTCCAAGATTCAGTTCAATGAGCATTTCTTCACTGCTGTGTTCTACAACACCCATAGGCACAATGAACTGCTGCAACACAGGGGAGCTCAACACTTGGCTACACACCAGAATTCTTCTCTAGAAAGAATTTTTTAATGTAGACGTTGGACCCTCCACCTATACTGAGAAATTCAATGCTCTGGTAGTGGGGAGAAGGCATCTCTGTTTTTTTCAGAAGGCTGCAGTTAGTTTTCATGTGTAGCTAGGGACCAGAACCTGTGCTCTCATCTCATGCTCTCAGCTTACCATCTTATTTCATATTTTACCCAATTTCTCAATTTTTAAAGTGTCCATCTCTCTCTATATATCAAACTCTTTCAGGGCATGGTTTGGGGGCACGGTGTCAAGCCTTATTTATCTCTAGTCTTCAGAACATAGTGCTAACATAACAGCCACCCAGTAACAGGCTGAAAATGTGAATTCAATAAATTGGGGGAACTGATAAATGAATTTGCTGAAATTGTTTCAATTCATCTGTCAATAGATGAATGGATTGAGAAGATATGATATATATATATATATGAATATCATTCAGCCATGAGAAAAATGGAAATCCTGCCACTTGCAACACAATGGATGGACCTTGATGGTATTATGCTAAGTGAAATAAGCCAGAAAGAGGAAGACAAATACTATATGATATCACTTATATTTGGAAACTTTTTTTTAAAAAAGTCAAACTTATAGAAACAGACAGTAGAAAAGTGGTTGCCAGGAGCTAAGGGGTGGGGAAAATAGAGAGAGGTTGGTAAAGGGGTACAAACTTTCAACTATAAAATGAATAAGGCCTGAGGATCTAATGTATAACGTGGTGACTACAGTTGTTAACATGTATTAATATAATTGAAATTTTTTTTTGGCTGCATTGGGTCTCTGTTGCTGTGCGCAGCCTTTCTCTAGTTGCAGCAAACAGGGGCTACTCTTCGTCGAGATGTGCGGGCTTCTCACTGCAGTGGCTTATCTTGTTGTAGAGCACGAGCTCTAGGCGCACGGGCTTCAGTAGCTGCAGCACACAAGCTCAGTAGTTGTGGCACGGGGGCCCTAGAGTGCGCGAGCTTCAGTAGTTGTGTCGCACGGGCTCCGTAGTTGTGGCTCACAGGCTCTACAGCACAGAGTCAGTAGCTGTGGCACATGGGCTTCGTTGCTCCATGGCATGTGGGATCTTCCCAGACCAGGGATCGAACCTGTGTCCCTTGCACTGGCAGGCAAATTCTTAACCACTGCGCCACCAGGGAAGTCCCTATATAATTGAACTTTGCTAACAGAGAAATTAAATGTTCTCAACAAAAAAAAGAATAATAAAGTAAAATAAAATACAATAAATTCTCGGATATACTGAAAAACAAAGATGATACTGGATACTATTTACTGGTCTCCTGGCACCTCTCCAATTCCCTCTGAGTTCTCAGAGATTGCCAGCAGTGGTTTGTGTTACCCCTCTGTGAGTTGTGTCCTGGGCATCTCAGTTGTTTGGGCTTTCAAAGCCTATGGTAAACTCACTTGTCCAATAAATAGTCTTTTGAATATTCTCTACAGTTTCAAGTCTCTATCCTTTGGGGGAAATTGTACCTTTAATACAGCCAAAAGTAATGGCTGCCTAATTTAGTGAATAGGATGTGTGGTGAGTTGCAAAGTACCATTTTGGGTTCAAAAGCAAAATTTTGATAAAGTAATAAGGATAGTCTGCTTGTGCACCTCACCAATTGTCTTCAAAGGAAAAGGTGAAAGAGAAGCTCCAAAGAAGTTTTGTGTTACACCAGCATTCATGCAATACATAAATAGCCTTCCAAAATCAATACTAATTTGGATGTATTGGCTCTGTGTTTGCTATTTTTAAAAAATCCAATTGTATTACATTATACACACTATGATCACCACTCTGTAATCCTGGCACAGGGACCACATTTGATAAACCAAAAATCAGGGTCTCTAGTTTGACCAGTTTGGGATGTATTTATGGGATTTAGCAAATTAGAAGTCAGATATTGGCATGTCCAGGAATCAACACCAATTAACTCTTGACGATTGTGAATTCTGTCACAACGGCCGGCTGCCAAGAGAATGTTCTCTTCACAAGTCACCCTTACCTTTATTTTAATGCTTAAATTACTGCGTGTAAATAAATGTCTGTGTTTCCGCCTGATGTACAAAGATAGAAAAAAAAAATCACATTTTAAAAAGGAAAAGAAATTTAATTGTTTATTTCTCCCCTTTCCTCAGTCTCCAGAAGAAAGGACTCTGGTAGCTACTAAAGACACTGTCTTAGTCCGTTTGGGTTGCTATAACTGAGTGGCACAGACAGAGTGACTTATAAATAACAGAAATTTATTTTGATTATAAATTTATTTTGATTATAAATGAACTGTTCAGTTCACTCATTTATAATCAGTAGGAGAGACTGTCTAGATGTTGGGGCAGCTCTATGATTTGGGTCTGTAACATGTAATAACTGAATTCAGTACCCTAGTTTTATGTTAAACTATCAGGATTTTCTTGATAAAAGTTAATCCCCCTGCCTCCCCAGCCTACCTGTATTTCTCTTAATGACTTCTGGGTCCTGAGCTCCCTGTGCAGCCGGAAGAAGGTATTGCAGTCAGAACCATGTATTGATGATAAAAGCCTCTGGTAGCAATAAAAGTTGTCCTTAAAAACTGTTCTGGAGGCTGGAAGTCTGAGATCAGGGTGCCAGCATGGTCAGGTTCTGGTGAGGGTTCTCTTCTGAGATGCAGACTGCGGACTTGTGTCTGTGTCCTCACGTGGTGGAAGGAGCAAAGGAGCTCCCTGGGGTCTCTTTTGTAAGGATGCTAATCTCATTCATGAGGGCTCCACCCTTATGATCTAATCAGTTCCCACCTATACCTGAGACTGCTATGCATTTCTCTGGAAACACACACAGAATATATCTCTATAGGAAATTTCCTGAAATTCAATTTGCATGTATCCAACTTTGGGAGCAGGAATGAAGAAGGTATGGAAACTTTTTTATGTGAATATTATGTTCCTCCTCATTAAAAAAAGAAGAAAAGAACAGTAATACTGACATTTAGGAGTTCAGACGGTGAATAGATTTTGACTTAAATTGCATCATAACCAAAGATAATTGATTCTGCCAGTGATACCTAACTAGAACTTTTTGATTAATTAAACTTTCACTGCCAACTGGGCCCAAATACTTAAGTTCACACACCTTTGATTAGGGAATAAATAGGAGAAAATAAACCCTTGATTCTAAGGACCATGAAACCAGGAGAAGCAGGATTGAATGGGGGCACGTGGTCAGTTTTGTTCCCTTTTTTGTATACTGACTATAGGAAAATAGATACCTTTGACTTCCTCCCCAGTAAAAAGACCTTAATCTGGCAAATTTGAGCTGATGGACTAGAGAGAATTAAGATGGGCTATTTGTAAATCACTCAAGATTGTCCAAAAGCAGCTCTGCAATAATGTCTACAGCTTGACTTTTTAAAAAAAATCCATACCATGATTATCATATTGTCAATTGTGGATTTTCCAGTATAATTTGGGGACATGTGGCCAGAACAGCTGAGGCAGCCAGACAGGTATTACCCTTTCCTGGCACAGAAAGATGCTACATCTTGGTAAATAAACTCTGTACAGCAAGCACCACAGACAGTATCACTTGTAAATAGTAGCTATTTAAGAGAAGCAAGCAAACAAAAACAGATCCCTTCAATCTGGTCTTTTAGGAGTAACAGAACAGAAAGGAAAGGCTGTGTCTGAGTAGTCTTTAACTGATCCTTGAGTATAACTACATGCTAAAGTTGAAAGTAATGGTCTGTCAAGAAAGAACCTAAGTCAAGTCTGAGAATCAAAGTGGAATAGTTAGAATCATGGCTGAGGCATGGAACCGTCATGTCCTTGGTTAATATCTATATGATAGAGA